AGAATCATAGGAGTTAGTCTTATTGAGCCATAACCATCAATAGAGCATTCATTCTACAGAACCGATGTAGCCTTATGTTGTATCTCCACTTCGGAATTAAAGCAGTTTAGCACCACATTAACTGACATAGCTTAATTATATGGAATTCTGCGACTTGTACTTTTGTGGGATATCTGCCTTCCTCTGTCAGAGAGTACTGGTGCCACCAGAAACTACAAATCTCAGCATTCCATTAAATGGAGCTGTAGCAGTTAATACAATTATGTGTTCCTTCCTTCTTTCTTTCCTTTCCTTCCCTTCCTCCCTTCCCTTCATTCTTCCTTCCTCCTCTTAATTCTTTATTCCCTCCCTCTCCTTCCTTCCATCCCCTCCTCCTTTCTTTCCCTTCCTTCCTCCTCTCCCTCCCCTTTTTTCTCTCCCTTTCTTAATTTGTTCCTTTCTTTCCTTCCTTCCTTTTCTTTCAGCCACTTTGGATCTCATTAAGTGAAATATACATATACATACACACACACACACACACACACACACACACATATATATATAATAAATTATAGTCGGTGATGAGCACCAAAATATGAAGAAATGTCATTATAAGAACATAAATACAATTATTATTGTTTATTATTATTATTATTATTATTATTATTATTATTATTATTATTATTGCAAGAAGAGAATCCACCTAAACCTGGCATGGGCAAACTTTGGCCCTCCAGGTGTTTTGGACTTCAACTCCCACAATTCCTAGGAATTGTGGGAGCTGAAGTCCAAAACACCTGGAGCACCAAAGCTTGCCCATGCCTGTCCTCATAGTAAGTGCTATTCAAAAGTGCAATAATACTGCCTTGAGAGTGTAGTGGAATCTCCTTCTCTGAAGCTTCTGAAGCAGAGGCAATGCTATGGGATTGTGGGAATTTAAAGTTATGTAAGGCATTTATAGCCTTTTCTTCCAAAGAGTGCTATGACCTTCCCAAATCTCAAATTATGTATTTATTTGATTTGAGAAATTCATATCCTGCCTTTCTCTTGAACACAGACCCAAATCCTAGGATTCCATAGCACTGAGCCATCGAAGTTCAAGTGGTGCCAAAACACTATCATTCTACACCAAGCCTGGGTTAATTTGGCCTTTCCTCCAGATGTTTTGGACCTCAACTACCACCATTCCTAACAGACTCAGCCCCCTTCCTTTAATCTAAGTATGGTAAAGAGTTGGCTTTTTACAGGAGCCATCACACTGGAGCTTTCTCCCATATTGAAACCTCTCTCACACTGAGGCATTTTTACTCCTTACAGAAAAGGAAGGGGCCCGAGACTATTAGGAATGGTGGGAGTTGAAGTCCAAAACACATAGCGGGAAGGTCCAAGTTGGCCAAGGCCTGATGTAGAATTATAGTGTTATGGAACCACTTTAACTTCAAGGACGCAGTGCTATGGAATTCTAGGACTTAAGTCTGTGCTCAGAGTAAGGCGGGATATAAATTTTTCAACTCAAATAAATACATAATTTGTGGTTTGGTGAAGTCCTAGCACTCTTTGGCAGAAAAGGCTAAGTTAAACTGCCATGATTCCATAGCATTGCCTCTGTTTCAGAAGCTTCAGAGAGTGACATTCCACCACACTCCAATGCAGAATTGTTGCACTTTCGAGTAATAGCACTTCCTACTTGGACGACCTTCCTAATGTTTAGGTCAGACATGGGCAAACTTTGGCTTCAATGTGAATTGGACTTCAATGCCTACTGTTCCTAACAGACTCAGGCCCTTTCCTTTTGAGTGTGAGGTTAGTAGGCCTCAGTGTATGAGAGGCCTGGTTTGAGGACAGTCTGGTGAGAGAAGCCCCAGATTGAAGACCTCGTGTAGGAAGCTCCAGTGTGAAGGCTGCTGTGTGTAAAAAGGCAACTGTGTATAAAAAATCAACTTAGGGTAAAGGAAGGAGGCTGATGCTGTTAGGAATGGTGGGAGTTGAAGTCCAAAACATCTGGAGGAAAGGCCCAAGTTGGCTTACACCATAGCAGCCTTCACACTGGAGGTTTCTCACACAAGGCTTCTCTCATACCAGGCCTTCCTCATACTGAAACCTCTATCACACTGAGGCAGAAAAGGAAGGGGCCTGAGGCTGTTAGGAATGAGGGGAGTTGAAGTCCATACCTGCTAAAGACCTTGTAGCTTTACACACACTAGCCTTCACACTGGAGCTTTCTCCCACAAGGCTTCTCTTTTAATAGGCTTTCTCATACCAGGCCTTCCTCAGGAGGGCCCAAGTTTGTCCATATCTGCTAAAGACCTTGTAGCATTACACACAACAGCCTTCACAGTGGAGCTTTCTCACACAGGGCTTCTCTCATACCAGGCCTTCCCCATAGTGAAACTTCTCTCACACTGAGGCATTTTTACTCTTCTCAGAAAAGGAAGGGGCCTGAGGCTGATAGGAATGGTGAGAGTTGGAAGTCCAAAACACCTGGATGAAGGGCCCAAGTTTGCCCATACCTGCTAAAAACCTTGTAGCTTTACACACAACAGCCTTCACACTGGAACTTTCTCCCACAAGGCTTCTCTCGTAATAGGCCTTCTCATACCAGGCCTTCCTTGGAAGGGCCCAAGTTTGCCCATACCTGCTAAAGACCTTGTAGTGTTACACACAACAGCCTTCACAGTGGGGATTTCTCACACAGGGCTTCTCTCATACCAGGCCTTTCTCATAGTGAAACTTCTCTCACACAGAGGCATTTTTACTCTTCCCAGAAAAGGAGGGCGCCTGAGGATGTTAGGAATAGTAGGAGTTGGAAGTCCAAAACATCTGGAGGGAGGGCCCCAAGTTTGTCCATATTTGCTAAAGACTTTGCAGCTTTACACAAAACAGCCCTTACACTGGAGCTTTCTCCCACAAGGCTTCTCTTATACTAGACCTTCCTTGGAAGGCCCAAGTTTGCCCATACCTGCTAAAGACCTTGTAGCGTTACACACAGCAGCCTTCACAGTGGGGCTTTCTCACACAGGGCTTCTCTCATACCAGGCCTTTCTCATAGTGAAACTTCTCTCACACTGAGGCATTTTTACTCTTCTCAGAAAAGGAAGGGGCCTGAGGCTGTTAGGAATGGTGAGAGTTGAAAGTCCAAAACACCTGGAGGGAAGGCCCAAGTTTGTCCCTACCTGCTAAAAACCTTGTAGCTTTACACACAGCAGCCTTCACACTGGAGCTTTCCCACACAAGGCTTCTCTCATAACATAATGAAACTTCTCTCACACTGAGGCATTTTTACTCTTTGCAGAAAAGGAACAGGCCTGAGGCTGTTAGGAGTGGTGAGAGTTGGAAGTCCAAAACACCTGGAGGGAGGGCCCAATTTTACCCATACCTGCTAAAGACCTTGCAGCTTTACACAAAACAGCACTCACACTGGAGCTTTCTCCCACAAGGCTTCTCTTATACTAGACCTTCCTTGGAAGGCCCAAGTTTGCCCATACCTGCTAAAGGCCTTGTAGGGTTACACACAACAGCCTTCACAGTGGGGCTTTCTCACACAGGGCTTCTCTCATACCAGACCATCCTCACAGTGAAACTTCTCTCACACAGAGGCATTTTTACTCTTCCCAGAAAAGGAGGGCGCCTGAGGCTGTAAGGAATAGTAGGAATTGAAGCCCAAAACACCTGGAGGGAGGGCCCAAGTTTGCCCATAACTGCGACCTTGTAGCATTACACACAACAGCCTTCACACTGGAGCTTTCTCCCACAAGGCTTCTCTCGTAATAGGCCTTCTCATACCAGGCCTTCCTCGGAAGGGCCCAAGTTTGCCCGTACCTGCTGAAGACCTTGTAGTTTTACACACAACAGCCTTCACAGTGGGGCTTTCTCACACAAGGCTTCTCTCATACCATAGTGAAACTTGTCTCACACTGAGGCATTTTTACTCTTCCCAGAAAATAGGCCTGAGACTGTTAGGAATGGTGAGCGTTGGAAGTCCAAAACACCTGGAGGGAGGGCCCAAGTTTGCCCATACCTGCTAAAAACCTTGTAGCTTTATACACAGCAGCCTTCACACTGGAGCTTTCTCACACAAGGCTTCTCTCACACCAGGCCTTCCTTATAGTGAAACCTCTCTCACACTGAGGCATTTTTACTCTTTGCAGAAAAGGAAGAGGCCTGAGGCTGTTAGGAATGGTGAGCGTTGGAAGTCCAAAACACCTGGAGGGAGGGCCCAAATTTGCCCATACCTGCTAAAGACCTTGTAGCTTTATACACAGCAGCCTTCACACTGGAGCTTTCTCACATAAGGCTTCTCTCACACCAGGCCTTCCTCATACAGAAACCTCTCTCACACTGAGGCAGAAAAGGAAGGGGCCTGGGGCTGTTAGGAATGGTGGGAGATGAAGTCCATAGCTGCTAAAGACCTTGTAGCTTCACACACACCAGACTTCACACTGGAGCTTTCTCCCACAAGGCTTTTCTTATAATAGGCCTTCTCATAGCAGGCCTTCCTCAGGAGGGCCCAAGTTTGCCCATACCTGCTAAAGACCTTGTACCTTTACACACAGCAGCCTTCACACTGGAGCTTTCTCACACAAGGCTTCTCTCATACCAGGCCATCCTCATAGTGAAACTTTGAGGCTGTTAGGAATAGTAGGAGTTGAAGCCCTAAACACCTGGAGGGAGGGCCCAAGTTGGCCCATACCTGCTAAAAACCTTGTAGCTTTACACACAGCAGCCTTCACACTGGAGCTTTCTCACACAAGGCTTCTCTCACACCAGGCCTTCCTCATAGTGAAACTTCTCTCACACAGAGGCATTTTTACTCTTCCCAGAAAAGGAGGGTGCCTGAGGCTGTTAGGAATAGTAGGAGTTGAAGCCCAAAACACCTGGAGGGAGGGCTCATGTTGGCCCATGCCTGTTCTACACGTAGATGCACCCCAGGACACTCAAAGGTTAGAGCAGGGATTGCCAAACTCCAGCTCAGCAGGTCTTTGCAATGCCCAGTGTCCAGGGCGTCCCTTCCTCCCGCTCACCTGTCTGGAGTGGGCCTTGGGCTCTGGCGGCTTGAAGAAGGAGTCCGGCAGCTTCCGGAGCCTCATGGGCAGCGTGTGGGGCACGTTGGCGCCCTTGGGGTTCATGACGGCGTTGAAGAGGGCCTCCAGGTCGGTCTCCGAGTCTCCCCGGACGTGGACGATCTGGTGTCCGGCCGGAGGAGGCGGCGGGGGCGGAGGCGGCTGTTGCTGCTGCCCGGAGCCGCCGCTCTCCGGGGCCGAGGCTTGCGGAGGGGTCTGCCCCGCTGCGGAGGCCTCCATGGCGGGCGACGGGGCTCCTCCTCCTCTCCCCCTCCTCGGCTGCTTCTCTCAAGCCTCCGCTCCCGGCTGGCCGTCTTTCATCCCCCGAAACCTTCGCTTTCTTCTCTTTTTCTCCTTCAGCCCAGCTCAAAACAAAACTTCGCAAACTAGCCCGCCCGCGCCGAACTCCGCCTCTAATGCGACTCAATGTAGCCCGGCCGCAGAAACTGAAGATTTTTTTCTCTCTCCCCCTTCTCGCGCCCGGCCGCGCGGAAATCCTTTCAGAGCAATTTTTCCTCCAAGCCGCCTGTCAATCAATCGCAATCACTTCAATCTTCCTCTCCTCCTTCGCTAATCCGCCCCAACTCCGATATAAGTTGGTTACTTCTCAATTATCTCTTTGACTGACTCCTAAAGAAAAGTTCGCAAAGGCGCCCGCCCGAGTCAATTCTGTAGGACTCAATTCTTGATTCTTTTTTTTCCTTCCTCCGCACGCAATTTTTTTTCACCTCTCCCGACAATTTTCTCCTCTAATCCGTCCCAGTTTTGAGGAAAAAAAGAAAATAGATATGTAGATCTATCTATAATGGCTCGACGTCCCTGTTTGTCGTTGATCAGGAGCTCAAACGCTGCCAAACAAAAGTTCCCAAAGTCGCCCGCCCGAGCCAGCTCCGCCCCGCGAGGGCCCGCCCGCGCCGAATTTCGACGGAGCTTAATGCAGCCCAGCCAGAGTTAAAGGAGGCTCTGCTTTAAGTCTCCTTTCACGCGCCCGGCCACTCTGATTTTTTAAAAAGCAATTTTGCAATGATTTAAAGACTTCAATGTGTTGGGATTCCCTCGCGTTTACTTTCGTGGCTCGTTTTTTTCTCTTTTCCAGCTGGGACAATTGTTGTGTTTTTATTTTTAGTCTTTTTGCAAGTAAACCCGCCCGAGTCGTTTTCTTGGCCTCCACTAGTGTCCAGGAACCGTGTACTTTATACTTCTACCCACCCTCCTCATCCTGTATCCCCCTCCAAAAAAAAAAAAGTTTTCCAACCCTCCCACGGAGACGAAAAGGAGGGGAAAGTGGGAGTATTTCGCCTCCCACACACACACACACACACCATTAAAAAGAGGAGAAAGGGAGGGGAAAAGGAAACAAGACCCCAACCCACCAGGCTTCAAAGCCCCCATGGAAGAGGAGGAGGGGAGGGAAGGGAAGGGAAAGGACACCTCTGCAATCATTGCCAGGACTTTGTGTTCTGCGGTTGCATTGCAGCAAGGCTTCTCTAGCAAGCTTGGTGGAGAATCAGCCCTTGCTTACCCTACTTCTTTATTCCCCCCAAAATAAATCACAGCCTGCAGTCTTAACTATTGTCTGCTCAAAAGTAAACCTTAATAAACTCAGTGCCAAACTCTGGCATAGACACTGAGAACTGGAAAGCCCTGGGCCTTGAGCGCTCCAGCTGGAGGTCAGCTGTGACCTGTAGTGCTGTAGAATTTGAAGAAGCACGAATGGAGAGCGAAAGAGAGAAACATGCCAAGAGGAAGGTGCGTGAAGCCAACCCCGACCGGGACTGCCTTCCACCTGGAAACCGGTGCCCTCACTGCGGGAGAACATGCAGATCAAGAATAGGGCTCCACAGTCACCTACGTACCAACTGCCAGTACACCGACCTTGGGGGACAATCTTACTCCGACAACGAGGGATTATTATTATTATTATTATTATTAAACTTTATTTGTACCCTGCTAGCATTTCCCGAAGGACTCGATGCGGCTTACAAAGGCCAAGGCCTCAACACAACAACAGCAAACAATAACAATACGATGCAAAGCAAATTAAAAACATAAGCAATAAGAAAACATTGCACTATTACGCAATAGAAACCAGGGCCGGGCCAGTAATGGGTACAGGTTAAAAAGTGCTGGGTGTGACAGGTGGTATGTTGAAATTCTGGGCAAGTGCAATCTGCAGAGAGTCTTAAACTCTAATAAAGTGCTTCTGGGACATAGTGCTGGGGGTTATCCTATTCTGGAAAAGCACATCGGAATAGCCAGGTCTTCAAGTTCTTCCTAAAGACTGCCAACGTGGGTACTAGTCTAATGTCTTTGGGGAGGGTGTTCCAGAGTCGGGGGGCAACCACAGAGAAGGCCCTGTCCCTCGTCCCCACCAAACGCGCCTGCGACGTAGATGGGATCGCGAGCAGGGCCTCTCCGGATGAACGAAGGGAGCGCGTGGGTTCATAAACGGAGATGCGGTCACGCAGATAGGCAGGTCTCAAACCGTTTAGGGCTTTGTAGGTAAGCACCTGCACCTTGAATTGGATCACCTAAGTAAGCAGCTAAGATGAAGGTGGCATGCTCTCAGGGTGAAGAATTGTCATAACCTGACACCACTTTGAACTGCCATGGCGCAATGCAATGGAATCCAAGGATTTGCAGTCTGGTGAGGCACCAGCAGCCTCTAGCACAGAAGGCTAAAGACCAGGCCTGGGAAAACTTGGGCCCTCCCTCCAGGTGTTCTGGACTTCAACTCCCACCATTCCCAGCAGCCATTCTCTCACACCAGAAGCGACTTGCAGTTTCTCAAGTCGCGCCTGACATTACCCAAAAAAAAAGCAGCCTCAAGCCTTTTATTTATTTACAATATTTCTATCCCACCTTTCTCGAACTTGAAGGTGACCCAAGATGGCTTTACAACATAGGCAGCTATTAGATGCCATTAAAACAATGTAAAAATTAAAATAAACATTTAAAAGAGAATTATAAAATACATACATTAAAAACTTTAAAAACATATAAAACCACTACCTTCACTATTAGCCTAGTCATCCAAAAACATTGTCTAAGCCGTTCCAGTATTCGATTTCACATAGTTCCACGTCTATCTATTGCACTAGGTTCCCAAAGGCTTGTTCAAAAAGCCATGTTTTCACTGTTCTGTGGAAAGTCAGGAGGGAAGGGGCTCATTTAATATCCCTAGAGAGGGAGTTCCACAGTTGAGGGGCCACCACTGAGAAGGCCCTATGTCTCATCCCTGCCAGTTGCGTTAGGGTTTTATAGGCTAAAGCCAGCACTTTGGATTGTGCTAGGTAGCAAACGGGCAGCAAGTGTGAAGTAGGCCTCAGAGTTAGTAGGCCTCAGTGTGTGAGAGGCCTGGTGTGAGGACAGCCTGGTGAGAGAAGCCCCAGGTTTATTTATTTATTTACTTACGACATTTCTATCCCGCCTTTCTCACCCTGGAGGGGACTCAAATCGGCTTTACAAAAACGCAATGATTCAGTGCCTTAAAATACAATGTACAGTTAAATAAATATTACAATATAATTTTAAAAGTACATTAAAAACAATTAAAACGTTTAAAAATAGTCAGGTTGAAGACTTTGTGTGAGAAGCTCCAGTGTGAAGGCTACTGTGTGTAAAAAGGCAACAGTGTAAAAAGGCAACTCTGTACATAGGGAAAAGGAAGGGACCTGAGGCTGTTAGGAATGGTGGGAGTTGAAGTCCAAAACACCTGTAAGGAGGGCCCAAGTTTGCCCATGCCTCCTCATGACCTTGTAAAAATGATAACTCCCATCATTCCATAGTATGGAGCCATGGGAGTTGAAGTAGTACCAAACTGCATCACTTCTACAGTGTAGATGCAAGATGTTCCTGTAAAACAAAGACCAAGTGTTGGGGCTCACTTTCTCCTCAACTACCTTTTTAATTCTAATTCTCTCATTAATTATAAAATGACTGGCTTTGGGACCACATAAGCAATCTGAACTGAGAACTGTTTCTTGACTCATCAATCACCGCAATAGACCCATCAATCAAATTCTGAACCAATAGTTATATGTTTTCATAGTTTAAAAATGTATATTTCATACTCAAAATATATTTACGCAACATTTAAAAAGTTTTTATTTATGGTTAAGAAAACACAAGTGTTAATGTTAATATGATAGTTTCAAATAAAAGTCTTTGTAGGCAGGATATAATTCAGCAACAGCAAAACTTTTCGGATAGTACATTGCACAAGTATTGATATGGGTATTCAGTCTGTAACATTAATAATACAAAATATGTGTTTGATTTCTGGGGAGGGGAAAACATGTGTAGATAACATAGATCTCTTTGAAAAGAACAGAATCCTGACAAATCTATATTTAAGGAGAATTCATCTATTCATCAAATACACTTGAGGAATCAAAAGCAGTCAATTACAGAACAAAGCTCCACCGTAAGAATGATACAAAACATAAATGTGCCGTTTCAAAGGATTCACGATCAAATAGGCAAAATTCTGCTCATGTCTGTTCGATGATGGATAACAAAGGCCATGAGCATCCTGGAGGAAAAAGTATATAGCATTAATATAATGTAATAATGGATAGTACTCATTTGTGAAAGAGTTCTAGAGCCTGGTTTAAATTGAGTTAAGCACTCTTGTCCTGCTTTTGAACCCCGTTTTTGGACAAAAGGTAGGATATAATCTGCCCTGAGTCCCCTTGGGGAGACAGAGTGGAAAACAAATAAAGATTAATAATAATAATAATAATAATAATAATATGCTTGATTTTTATGTGTAACACTAAACCACTCCCTCTTGACATGACTCAAATATGAGGAGATGACTGAAATAAGCTGCTTGTTTTCCTAATTAATTGTGATTTTTGTTTATGTCCAAAGCAAGGCAAACTGTGGTTATTGTTAAATATACAGGTTATGTATCTCTTATCTGAAAGAATTAGAAGTATTTCATTTTGGATGTCTTTTGGATTTTGAAATGCCTATATTTGTATATATGTACATTATGTGATATCTTGATGTTGGGATTCAAATCCAAACAAGAAACCAGTGTATGCTTCATATATTTCTCATTATACACGTAGTCTGAAGCTAACTTTTTAATAATTTTGTGCATGAAACAAACCTGGTGTACATTAAACCTTCAGGAAACAAAAGGTGCCACTATCTCTGCCACACAAAGGATGGTTTTGGAGTATTTAGAATTTCTGGATAAACTCTTAGAACCAAAGAGCTAAAACAGAACTAGAAATTAGTCCAGTGGTTCTCAACCTGTGGGTCCCCAGATGTTTTGGTCTTCAACTCCCAGAAATCCTAACAGTTGGTAAACTGGCTGGGATTTCTGAGAGTTGTAGAACAAAACACCTCGGGACCCACAGATTGAGAACCACCGATCTAATCCAACTCCGGCCAGGTACCTGGTTCAGCATCTGCTTAAGTATCTCCAAGTCAAGAAAAGTCTGCAAGCTAGCATGGTGTAGTGTGTTAAGCATTGGTGCTGAATTGGGAGACCAGGATTTGAATCTACACTTGACCATGGAAACCCACTCGGTGACCCTGGGCAAGTCATGCTAGCTTCAGAGGAAAGCAAAGGCATGTCCCCTCTGAACAAATCCTGCAAAAAAAAAAAAAAAACCTAAATGACAGAGTCATCATGTATTGGAAAACTTGAAGACATACAACAACAACAACAACAATAACAACAACAACAGAAAGGCCTCTACTCCCAAGGCAGGCTGTTTCACTATTACATTGCTCATATAATTAGGACATTTATCTTCAGGTTTAGCTGTAGTTTCCACTTACTGTTTTAAGTATTTCCTGTCTACTAAATCAGAGGTGGGAATTGTGTGGCCCTTCAGATGTTATTGTACTGTAGCTCACAACATTCTTAACCAACAGCTGAGCTGACCAAGGCTGTCTGGACTTGTAGTAAGGCATACGAGGGTTGCATTTGGCTAACCTGTGTT